CGCCCACGTCGACATCGCGGAGCACGTCGCGGGCGAGCCTCGCCAGCTCGACATCATCTCACCGGGGGTTAGGACGGCCCGTCAACCCGACCTGCGAAGTGATCGTGTATGTATACTTGCAGGTGAGATGTTTGAGACGCGCTCCTCGGAATCGATCCTGACGCAAGGGCAGGGCCGCCACAACCCGATGATTATCCAGGCCGTGGGCACACCTCGCGATAGCGTCGTGGAATTCCATTTCGCGCAACCGAAGATTAACAGCGACCTGGGCATAGTCGCTGCGGATCGGGCCAAGCCCACGTTCACGAAGTGGAACTTGACGATCAAGGGATGGGCCGACTATCCAAAGCCGCACCACCCGGTGTTTCTCGCTCCTGGCGAGCGCGTTCTGTACCGCGAGACGACCGTCACCAACACCCCTAACCTACAGCACTATGTGGCTCTGCTCTTGCCCCCCTCCCTCGGTACCGATACTCGCCCCTTGCTGCCCTCCACGGACTACAATAACCGCCACCGCAAGGACGCACGCTCTGTATCGCCAGCGCCCTCCCGCTACAGGACGGTACCGAGTTCATCAATGGTTTCCCTGGATGATGTCTTCGCGGGAAGCAGCGCTCGCGCCGAATCCAGCGTGTCGAGGCGAACGAAGTCGTCCACGCCGCACAAAGTCGTCGCGCGGCGCTCGTCATTTATCGACCGCTTGTTTGGGGACGACGCGCCTGACGGGGCAGAGAAGCGCGGGGTCAAGCGGGCGGGGTCCTCCACGCCGAGCGCGGTCGGGAAGCGTCGAAAGCTGCCGACCAGGGAGAGCAGCCCCAACGCCATAGATCTCACTGGCGGGGGTCCGGAGGCCGGTCCATCGCACTCGAACAGAAGCTTGTCTCGAGGCAGCACCGACCAGGCGATGGCTGGCAGGTCGAGCGGGTCAGGTTTGGGCGGTGGCATGCCGGCTGCCACTGCGAACGTGGGTACACACTCCCTCAACGGGCCCGCGAAGGACCAGGGTGGGCGGTTGAGCGGGCCCGATGAGGGGTACATCGTAATTTCGGATAACGAGGACGAGCTGTAGCTAGAGTATTTGCATGTAACTACGTTCTGGAAGACGGCATAAGTAGCGCGTGGCGAGCGCGCCGACGCTCTAGCCGCCGGGTGAGCGACTAGGTCGGTGGGGCGACGTGCTATGCATTGGCTAGTAGGCGTTAAGGTCTGCAGGAGTCGGCTAAATCAGGACATACGCGTGGCAGGGCAGCGGGACTTACCAGTAACCGGCGGCAGGTCCGTGCGCTTGAGCGAGGGCGGGACAGGTGGAGGCGAGCAGCTCGAAATCTCTGCCATCATCGCCCGAATGCGCCCTTTCCGCTCCGCCCCTAGTGCTTCATCCTCAATCTGACGATACCCAGGCCTCGACACCATGCTACGACGTAACGTTCGAATGCCGCGCGGCGTGAAGCACATGACTGGCGCGTCCAAGCCCTGCACGAGAGAAGCCGCGTACAGCGTGTCGAAGGAGGGGGAAATGGAGCTGCACGACTCCCACTTGGGCTATTTGCGGGAGGGACCACCTCTGAAGCGTGCCCGGAGGGACGAAGATGGGGCGGGTCGCTCGGGGGCCAGCGTCGAGCCGTCCAATCCGGAGGGGTCGAATATGGTGGCTGAGATGGAGGAGGACCTCTGGCCGTTTGCAGATTTGGATGAGGATGAGGATGTGAGCGGGAAGGAGAAGGGCGGGACTGTGCCTAGACCAGGATACAAAAAGGTGCGCCGATCTTACGCCAGAGCAGTGCGAATGCTCGCTGATTGGAAGCAGTCAATACCCTCCACCCGTATAGCCCAGTTCAAGCCCCATTTCGAGGACATTGTGTCCGACATGCTGTGGAGGGAGGGCGGGGGCGATAGCATGGGTACGTGCTCCCAAAAAGGATGCGGAAGCGTGGCAACGACGCAGTGTCGCGAGTGTCGAGGGCGAGAGCCGATGTGCATTCCCTGCTCGGTGACGGCGCACCGCAACCTCCCCTTCCACTGGCTCTCTGTCTGGAACGGGAATTACTTCGAACGGCGTGACCTCGCTGAGCTAGGATTCGTCATACGCCTTGGACACCATGGAGACGGATGTGCACACATACCGTGTAACGCCCAACCGCTCAAATTCGTCATTGTCCACGAGAACGGCGTACACAACTGTCTCCTGGAGTACTGCCACTGCCCCGGCCGCCGAAACGAGCTATCGCAGCTCGTGAGGTCGGATCTATTCCCAGCAACTCTTGAGCGGACGGAGACTGCGTTCACGTGCGATGTGCTGGAGCGGTTCCACCTCGACTACGACATCTCCAAGCGAAGCAGCCAAGATTTTGTCCGAATCCTGGAGGGTTTAAGCACGGGAGACAGGCTGACCGGATTGGTCAAGGTGAGCGCACGGTTTGCCGCGCACCGCTCCCCTGGCTAACTTCAGCTGCCTAGGATCGCTACCGCGATTTCATGATGGCGGCGCGCATTTACCGCTATCTGACCATGGTGAAAAGGGCCGGTAGAGGAGTGGGCGTCGTCGTGCCCGGCAGGAGGCCGGAAGACATCACGACGCCATGCTTCACGTGCCCGATTCCAGACTTTAATCTGCCGTCGGACTGGAGGGACACGCCTGAGTATCTGAGGTATGTTACGCCCACCGATGTAACTCAAACTGCCGCTGATATAGGACAGATACATATACCGAATAATATTCTGCGCAGACGGCAACTATAGTTTGCAAAAGAAATCCAAACCAGACGACGCCATGGACATCGCCTTGACTACTGGCCAGGGTTACTTCGTGCCTCCGTCGACGATGGACGCGTACCTGAGCAAGAAGTATAAGACGAAGACGTCGCAGCAGGACGGCGCGGAAGAGACCGACGACATAGTGGGTTGGTTACTGCTGCTGACGGCGTAGCATAGCTAACCGACGGTGCAGACGATCACATGTAGCGGCTTCAAGGTCGCGCGATCGCAACGCAAGGGGAAATTCAAGTATGTGGATAGCAGCGGTGTGCTATCCTTCTCCTGCGACCATCTGCATTTCCGGCCGGGCGGTACAGTCGATCTTCAAACGACGGAGACGTAAGTGGGTCGACGGCAATAAATGTGTACACTGACTGAGACCTGACGTAGGTGGGGCCACGGCGACCACGCGCTGCACGGGGCTGTACAGGGCACAGAGCAGCTATTCGAGCGGGGCATGTCGTACGACGTGATTTGCAGCTACATATGTCATCTGCTCGCGCGCCTGAAGAACTCGCATCCTGACACGGTGCGCCTGGTGAGCGACATGAAGATGTTATTACCGAAGATGCACATGCACGGGCACAGGGAGCTCTGTCAGATTGTATATGCGTTCTGCTACTCGCAGGGGTTTGGATTTGCTCATGGAGAAGGGGTGGAGACGCCTTGGGCCGAACTGAATATTGCGGGGCTGTCCACACGGGAGATGACCGCAGGTGCTCGTCATGACGCGCTCAATGCGCTACTGAACTACTGGAACTGGCGCAAGACGAAGGGCATGGGTATGTTGCAGCCGCTGTAAATAAAGGCCGACGCGCTGACTGGAGGTTTGCACAGGGCGCTTCCTCGCACGCAAGCTAGATGAAGCATACACTGCGCAGCGGAGAACGACCCGACATCTGGTGTCCCTGACATGTCTCGCTGGACCTGCAGCTGTGACCGATTGGTTGAAGATACCAGTTGACGACAACGCGCCAACACCGCTGACCTTCCACGAGAAGACCAAGGAATACGCAAAGAGCGTCTACATGTGGAGCCGAGCGGAATGTACGTCGCTCCAGGTGGTATATGCGCGTGCGTCAGATGACATATTTTGCAGTGCCGAGTGCGGAGCGTGCGCTCCAAGAAATTCTCAGTGGAAAGGGCAAGCACGCGAAAAGCAACAAGGACGGGGCGGCTGCCCGCCTCAAAAGCGCGGCGGCTATGTGGATCAAGACGGGTCTGGAGCTAGAGCAGGAGCTGTGAGTGACCATGGTGATGTGAGCCGCGGATAATAGGCACTGATTCATAATTCAGATTGCATCTACGCTACGTGACCGAGCAACAAGCCAGCAATAGGGAGGTGGTAGAGGACGGATTCGAGCACACAGTGAGCTGGAAATCGTGCCGGGAGAAGCTGGCGAAATGGCGGAAATCGCGTCGTACCCATATGCCACAGTGCGACGCGGACGAGGACGGTCTACATGTGCCAGAGGGATGGGATGAGGTGATGGGCGAGGAGGACGGCGACGACGTTGAAGAAGGGAGCGGGGCCGACGCCGGTGCAGAAGCGTTGGAGCTGCCTTCCGACTTTACCCGCGAGGAGCGGAGTGAGTACGAGTTGGACAGGCTGGCTGATTGTGAATTGCAGATCCGCGTAGGAATGGCGTTCGATCAGCTAGATGCAGTGCGCCTGGCAGTGCAGCACAGGGCGGCACATCTGGACCACAAGGCCAAAGCGGTGAAGGGAGCGAAAGCGAATGCGGCAGCCCAGGTGGAGATAAAGAGGGCGGATCAGCGCGCACGGGTTCTATCTACCAGGTATAATGCAAACTACGACAAAATCCAACTCCTGCGCGCTTCCACCGCCAATCCGCTGGTCGAAGACGTCTCACGACGGACAAAGGATGACGTTCTGGACGCACAAACCGAAGACGCGCCGGCCGGAACGGGTAAGGCCTCAAGCGAAGCGCAGGACTCGCAGCAACTGGACGTGGGGCCCGGTTCGCGACTTCGACGAATCGACCTCGACAAGGACCTCCGGATATCGAGCATAGCGACGCCAAGAACGTTGGGGGACAAGAGCTTGACCGCGTCATGGATCTGGGCTGTCTTCGAGGGCCCAGTCGAGGGAAGAACACGCGCTAGCAAGAAGGGGAAGACGTATTCCAGCGGTAGGTGGGACTTCCGCGGATAACGGTCAGCGCGTTGACCGTGGACTGCACATAGTCGACATAGTGCAATGGTTTCGAGCCAAGGCAGCAAAGGACCGTGCAGACGAGGCGGTAAACAAGCTATGTGCTGAGTTCCGACGTACGTGCATGGGGTACGGGGCGTACGCGGAGCTATGGCGTACAGCAGCCACACGTTGCGAAGGAGGAGAGCGTGCATATGCGTACAAGACCGCTGCCATGTGGGAACGCATGAAGAAGGCGTGTGGGGTGGAATACGATGCGGCGCGGAAGGAAGGTGTAGCGGGGGAATTGCTAGATCACACAAGGGTTAGTCTTGCGTCGCAGCGTTTTTCCTCGCAGTGTTGTTTTTGAAGCTCATGTTTAACGCATTGTTAGCCGACTAGGGAGTACTTTATGCAGCTCTTGAAGGACAAGGATACGAAGCCGTACGAAGAGATCATAGACCGGCTGGATACCCGAGGTTAGGGGAGTGGATGAGCGGGTACGTTTATACCATAGTTGGGGATAATCGAGGAGGATAATCCGGCATGATCATCGTCTTGTCGCGACGTGTGGAAAGAGCAGCGGCACTTACGATGAAAGAGCGGCCGTGAGGGTGGGCGGGGATAATCGAGGGATTATCGCGCAGGAGGTAATGGTACTGGGCGCTGGGACTATGGTCACATATCAGGGACACTTGGCGCAGTTGGTGTAGCGCAGTGGGCTTTGACAGGGAGTCGGTCGTTCGAGTCGCAGTGCAGCACAATTTTTATGAATATGCCACAGAATTATAGACTGGATTATCCGTGTGGTTGATCGGGCGGGTAGGCAAGGGGATAATCGACATTGGGGCAAAGCGTCCCGGTGGGAGTGGGGGATAATCCAATGATATAGGGCGGATAAAGTGTGATAAACGCTACGATAATCGCTCTACGAACTGGACATCGGAAACTATATGGATTAAAATCCCATCCTTAATGGGCGGGATGATCGGTGAAATGCATTAATAAATGCGAGTTGATTAACGAACTAAGTG